ATGTACATGTTATATATTGTTTCCTTCATAGGTCAAGCTTGGCATGATTTGTAAGGGTTATTATGGTAATTGATTTAAACAAATATTTACTGGAGTTTAGGAAAGAAATCACCCAAACTGTACATTACAACATTAGATTAAACACTAAAATTTTTAATATTTTGTGTCATTAGTTAATACAGATTTTGCAAGTAAATATAATTTGAACCAAGCAAGAGTTTGCAAACATAGTGTTCTTTCATATTTGCTCAGATTTTATAATTATGAAAATAGATTCTTTGCAGTATCAGAATGGTGGTAAATTGTGCAGTAAGTAAAAGAAAATAGATGTTTTGACTAAGATTGCCTAATAAAGACCTTCAAATATCATTTTTTTCCCTTTTGTTCTTTATCGATGTTCAGAAACTGATGAAATTACTTTTTCTCACAGAATTTGGTATTTTAATTTACAATCTTAGCTCCTATAAAGAAATGTAAAATCAAAGATCATATTGTTTTTCCTTTCATTTGCTTTCAACATTTTTTTGATGAAATTCATTGTGCAGTCCAGTCATAAAGATTTGAAACTTTAAGTATTTCATTGAATCTTTGCTAGTTTTTAATGGAAGATACCAATTTTATCACTTTTTCCCCAACATGTTCTGTACATTTTTTTTTTAAATACAGATACCTGTCCATTCATGTTTAAGTACAATAAAAGGGACTTCTTGTGTGTTCCATATATACTGAATCAAAATTCAAGTCCATCTGCAAACTGCACAGACCCTGATCTGTCATGACATATTTTCCCAACAGATCTGGGTCTCTGCAGTTTGTTAGGAGTAATCAGTAGAATTAGGAACATAGACCTGACCTACCTGCACATTATATAATGGCAGATCAGAGTTGGTGTTGTTTGCAGTTGGACTTGACTAGTATGTGAATCTATATGATATGCAAAATCATTAATGTCATCATATCTTTGTTACAGAATTTTTTTAAATGATAGTAAACTAACTCCAGGAGAGAAATTAAAAAACAACTTAAGGGTTTTTAGTTTTCTTCTCTTTTTTAACTTTGTGATTGAAATGAGAATATTAATACAAACAAGGATTGTTCACAGAAGTTGAGCATGTCACAAACCTGTATTGCACCAATAAATAACTAGGTTTGGAACTTTACAGTTCGGACAGTACATGTAATACTATTTGGCATTGTCAAAAATGGACTGACATTGTGTGCATTTTATGGTATAATTAAATGTGGTTGCTGGCACACCATGGTTCAAATGGCTTATTATAAATAAACTAGATGTAACAACCCTCTGCATAAAAGTAATTCTTGTGTATAAATGTCAAGTTACTTTGGTCAGACATGTACATGCATTACTTTTAGATGGTTGGTTGGATCTAATAGCACTTGAGCAGGTTGGCTTTATTATGCTGAGGTGATTGTCCCAATGATACAGTGAAGACAGCTGACCTGGCTGGCCTTGTTGGGTATTGAACCAGTGACTATTTGTTATGATTCTGATGCTCTGCCAGCTGGACAGCTATGACTTCCCACATGAATTAATAAACATTTACCTTTATATAAATGCCACATGCTCATGAAACATGACACTGGTCTTATGTGTGGTCAATAAATGCAAATTTTATTGTATCTTTTCTTTCCAGTATTCAATATTTAAATTGAATGCCAGCTTGTCATGACAAAACTTGCTTTAGAATTCCAGATTTGCCTGGATTGATTGATTTTAAATGCATTGCATTACATCAAGTATTTTGTTCTGTATGATTATCTTTTGTTTCTGTTAGTTTGGAAGCTATGAATCAGCAAATATTGCTGTAGATCAATAATTTAAAATTTTGTTTTTTAGATTGTTTGATATTTTTAACAGATTTTTTTTGTTTGTTTTGCATTACATCATATAACGGAAGTTTCAGTTGTTTCCAACAGCAAAGTTGACCTTTATGGTGGCTGACAATATAGCAAGAAAGGGAGTTAATTGCAGATAAGGGAGATAATATGGAAAACATTGGTAAGGAAAGGTTTTTTTTTAATTCCTATTCTTTATAACCACTTATTTATTTCAAAATCTTTTCCATATTTCTGTATTTCATACTTCATATCATTTGTAAATTTTTCATTTCTATCTTGCTTCATTATAACCTGACATATTATTGCTCACATTATGTAAATTTTCAACCAATATATGGAAATGATACTAATATTTCAAAAGGAGGGAAAATCCATTTTAAAAAATGATTGTCTATGTAGGTTTTGTTTCTTGACCAGAGATAATGTTGGCTTTAAATAATATCCTATACATAAACTGCATTTCAAATGAGAAAAGGCTTTCACAAATAATGGGTGCTTACTAAAACATGCATAGTAAACTGATAGTAAACTAGCAATCTGTAGCAGAGTACTATTTTTCCACTCTTTTGTAATGATTTTTATTCCTACGAGCACCAGGTCTTAGTAAGACTTGACCTGAAAACTACCTTAATCTAAATACATGGTTTAAAGGCAGAGTGCTCTCCCATTTTCTTAGGATAATAATTATGAAACGTGCTAATGCATGTAGAAATGGAACGGCAGGATCATATAGATTCTTTGAACTTTTTGTGATATGTTGGAACAACATCGAGGATATTGGAACCAAAGGAGATAAAAAGAAACGCTATAGAACTATATATTTGGATTTTATTTTAAAATTAAGCTGTTGTTAATTTGTTAATTATTTGTAGCATTTACAGATTTTAATTTTAGCATTTTGTGGAAAGACTATGATCCTTGTAGTCTGAGACATTTCTTGGTATTCTGTACTCATTAGTAAGGTTCCATACTTTTGGTTTAAATTATGAAACGAGTTAATATATGCAAAGCAGGTCTTGGTATATTCACTTTTTGCCAACCTTCTTTATGCAGGCAAGAAAAGTAATGTGTGTTATCTTTTGTTGTTTGTTTTTTTTTTACTTTGTGTATCCTTTCTTTTAACTATGCAATTCAGTCTGTCTTATATCTTTAATTTAAAACCCCCCAAAATAAAGCATAATACATTACAGTTGTGTGTCTCGCTTTATTTAGCATAGTTCAAACACATCTACTCGGAAACATAGCATACTTGCATACAGAAACATGCACATAACATGCCTTTATACAACAAGTTCATTATGCTCTCGAAAATATTTTCTCTGCTGTTATCGAATTTCAAAAGTAATCGCTTTTAAGTAAATCCAACTGCAAAACAACATAGAAACTGACCTTCCATCACATACTGAAACTTCGGGGTGGGGATTTGGCAATGTGTGTTCTACTGGCTATCAATAACAAACTGCATAGAGCCAGATTATGTGACTGCAGGTCTTTGTGTAGTTTGCATTTGGACAACGTAATTATATGCTTTATTTACCAAGAAAAATCGAACTCGTTAAAATTTTAACCTAATATTTATCACATTTAAAACTGTTGTGTTGAACTGGACTTAAGGGTTTGGCTGTTGAAAACATGTTAAAAATGGAACTCGAACTCGCATTATGTTACGGCAGATCCCGGTCTGATTTGGCAAGGTTTTAAATGCGTAATTTCGTAATTCGGAGTGGCATTGATATCCGAATCGTATGTGTAAGCTGCATTTGTTTTGCTCATTTTCGTTAATGACCATGTCACAGTAAGTTTTCACCATTACTCTACTACAACGAAATGAAAACAGAATGAGTAACTACATATATTATAATACAGTTTGATTGATTAAATTAAAGAAAAAACATGAAGTGAGATGAGTCTGTGTATGAACACTAGGCTGAGACTTGGAATCCGTTTGCAATGCCTTAGGATTTAACATTGTCCAAGTTTTGTGATTGTTTGAACCACAGCATTGGCACCTATAAGAAATGCACCCTGCTCTTTTCAGTTCACAACCATGTAAGAGACGTAGTTCGTACAACCATGAACAATTTTTGAATTTTGTCAAGTTAATATATTAAAAAGTGTTTTAATTTGTAGGAAAACTCCACGAATTTATCTGACGGAATATAAAATGTTTAAAGTAAATAGAATGTATCACTTTTTAAATTCAGATATTTTTTCTCCTGCTTATTTTACAAAAGCAATAAGTGAATAAGTATTTGTTGGATGAAGTGTGCGACATAGTTGGTTATCAAACGTATTAGTCCCTTTGCAGTTATACACGCAATTTTTAATTGTGGCTTTGTTTAGGATTTTTTTTATTTTGTTTTGTTTTGAGTTTCTTTTAATTGGGGTGGGTTCCTATTTAAGCACTGATGATCAGCATAACATACTGAGAAAATGGAATCTCTATAAGAAAATAAGACTTGAAAACCTTTTGGAAGTCTTTGATAATAATAATAATAATAATAATAATAATAATAATAATAATAATAATAATAACGATGACTTAATATAGCGCCTAATCTTTAGAAGCTCTAAGCGCTTTACAACATTTGACAACGCTTAAAAAGATTTTTTTTTAAAAAAAAACATGATAAAATGATTACAAAAATTGAAAACAAACACCACAAAAATTAGAAACAAGACATGCTGTAAATTTTTAAGGTAAGGATATGTTAAATGAATACATTATTAGGTCTTTATGACTGTTCTTGCAGTTGAAATAGATGGGTTTTAAGAGCTCTTGAATGAGATCACTGTCTTTGTGTCTAAGTGCAGTGGGCAATTCATTCCACGTTGTTGAGCCCTGGTATATAAAAAGAACGTTGTCTCTGTGTGTGTGTGTGTGTGTGTGTGTGTGTGTGTGTGTGTGTGTGTGTGTGTTGGATTTTTAATGTAGATTTAAACAATTTCAGTCATATCGCTACATTGTCTTCAGTGTAACAATTTAGAGTGATGTTTAGCACAAGGAATTCATGCCGCAGACATAGCATGATGTCCCAAGAAGTCACATTATCCTGAAACCATACCGACTAGTCCTAACACTAACCCCTTAATGCTAAACGCCAAGCGAGGCAGCTGTGAGTACCATTTTTATGTCGTTATGACACGGCAGGGGTTCGAACCCGTGACCTCCGGCATCCGAGGCGGACTATATAATCACTAAGCCACCGGAGCGTTGAAGTGCCAGGTTCACGTCAACATCATCATGTAGTCTAAATAGGTCTTGTGTGACGCGAATTGAGGTCAAAATAACATCACGTACTCCAAGGAGTACATTTGTACCATAGACAAGTCAGACTAACCTACCTTGTGATTGGTTGAAATCAGAAAAAAAGGAAAGTATTTCACAACATAAAAATAGTTTAAAAATGCCTGGATTCTTTTTTTCTATTAATTTAGTATATTTTCTATTGCTCATTTGGTGATGGTCTAACATAAATAATATCCCTTGTTCTCATTCTATAATGTTGATCAGCTTTGTGAGAGATGAGATGATTTTGATTTATTTATACGTTGTTCGTCGAAATTGCAGAACTCGAAATATTTATTTTAACCAGACAATACTGAACTGGATTATTGTGAAGTTATTCAAAGATTTGGATATATTGATTTCGTTAGAATATCATAAAACATTAAACAATTGTGAAGCTCATGTTCTTTTGATTTACATTGCAGGCAAGTAAAAGCTATACGATATTACATCATCGAATCTTTAATGGTCTTTGCACATAAGCACAATATAATTTAAATTCAGAATACGAAGCGTTTTTGGATTAGCATGGAATGTAAGAGTATATTATTGGAAATTGTAGGAATTTACCCTTTTGCAAGTTATTTTTAATTCTTTCACTGTGTATGATAGGGAAGTAAATTTGCATTTTCAGTTATAGTTGTTTTTGCTAGCTCCGATTAAGTAGTTCAAGCTACAACGACGCAGTTAATAGCCCCTTTTAAAGTAAAATAAATAGATCAATATTTCCGTCATTCTTAAACAGTAAAAAAAGCTCTTTTGAAATTCTTTATATAGCTGGCACATTCATTATTCAGACGTCGGAGGATGTCACCTTTGCTCATGATATAGACCAATAAAGAGGACTGGTTTCTTTTACTCCACATTCTTTTTATTCTTATTAGAGTAACAAATGACAATCATTCATAACAATCATTCCTGGTAGAACAGGAACATGATCCTGCGATGTTTGTTTCAGATGGCTATTAGCGAAGCTGAATCGACACAACCATCTGTTAATCGTTTTGCTAAACAAAACAACGGGTCCGTATGAAAAAAATTGAGACCACCTGAGGTACCGCTGGTGATGAGTGGTCATTGAGCTATCAAACTGTTGTTCCTTAGTCTTAGCGACATGAAATGTTTGGTGTATTATATGAAACGCTTTATACTGGTTATTTAGGGGCCAGTAAGACTATAACAGATCATAAATCAGTTTTATTGACCATAAAATTAAAAGTACTGTTTGGAAATAATGATGATCTTGTCATACTTGTCAAATGGTAGGAAAGCCCGTCAGAAAATATCTTAGGTTCATTGGCAATTTATTTCTGCAAATGTTGAATTATTTAGCAGAATAAAGGTAGGTTGTGTCGTTCCTTTACCCAAGACCAAGTAAAAAAATAAAAAATTAAGGTATAACAGTAAATAAGAAAGAAAATAACTTTCAGCCTAGTGAGAGAGTTCGGTCTCTCTAGCCTATTCTTCAAAGTCCACTTAGGGCTAAGTAATATGATCTTTATCAAGTTAGAAAGAGAGCAAGTGATATCAATTTCTTCTGTAAATATCTTAAACCAGAATGCCGATAAAGATAGCCGTGTTTATCATGCAGTCAATGTAGTTGTATCTGTCCCACATTGTAAGGATTTATGTGGTAGAATGTAATCTGATTATAGTGACATTGGTGTAACCAGTCTTCGGAATTCAGAAATATTTTGTAACCTGGACCAACAATTTCTCTTCTACAGCCAAAATAAAAATGTGAACTTAAAATAGCTATTATTTGACCATAAGTACTTGTTTCAGATGTTACAAAAGGAACAACAAAAATATACAATGACGTTGAAAATACATTCCACACCAGTGAAGCAACGTCCGAACAGGATTATTCATCCCAAACAAGAATGTTTGAAAAAGATAAATTCAGCATTTGCTGGAAAATTATTTCATAGAACTAAGAAAAAGTGGGCATGTATTCTTGTGCCGAAACCAGATTCCACTTTCCACATGTGAACAGACTATAGAAATGTGAACGGTGTGACCAAAACAGATTTATTTCCATTGCAAGAACCAAACGACTGTGAGAGTTGAGCCTTCACGAAGAGGAGATTACTGTCGACTGAGTCTATACAAGGGTTTGACTTGAAGGAATTCTTCTGAAGTTTGGTTCTTCAATGGTTTTTGAGCACACATAGCAAGAAAAGGGGTAGGTGGGTTCGATACATCATCTCACATGTCAAATTATGTGCATTCCGGTCTGTAACGATTTTTCAAAGTGAGCAGGAAGCGGTTTACAAGCGTGATGTTCTAAATAACTACGTTACTAATTCACATATAACTAAAGGCGCTCCCACATCACCGCAAATCATGATAACAACACAAGTGCATATTTCCTTGTCTTTGGAGAGAGAGAGAGAGAGAGAGAGAGAGAGAGAGAGAGAGAGAGAGAGAGAGAGAGAGAGAGAGAGAGAGAGAGAGAGAGAGAGAGAGAGAGAGAGAGAGATGTGTCCGTCCTCGGGAGACAATCCGCTATTAGTGTGTGTGAAAATGAATATTACAATTTCTAACGGAGGTGTCATTCGTAACTTCTAGCTCAGTCCTACGGATCATACTTCGGATGTCAATCGGAACATTGTCGACCATTTTCATCAAGTTGAGAAAGTAACCTCATATGTAATTATCCTCCATCAAAAACAATGGAACTACTTTTGTTTATGTCACCAAACCAATGAAACTAATGTATATTCCTACAGCTACTTCCGAGGTCTCAATTATAGCTTCCGGTTCAATATCAAAGAATGTACTCCATGTCTACTTTAAAAGTAATGTTTCCTCTCACATTTTGGTGGTAATACAAAAGCTCGATTTAAGCATACCTGTTATTGATTTAAAGTCAAATGGTTTATCCTTTAGAATATGAGCATTATGGTGTGGTTGTCTGTGTGTATTTCGGCGGCTGTGCTAAGTGAGTAATGATGCATTGATACTGATCCGGCAGTGAAAAATGACCCATTGCACGGTGCTTTATTTATATTCGAGACTATTCCCCTCAAAAAATGCATGATAATCTATGACAAGAACTGTACCGTGAATTCGTCTTAAAAGGTATTTTTAAAATATGATTTATAAATTGTTTAAACACTCTGGAACTTTCATTACTAACAAATGTAGAAACTATACAGGAAAAATAAAAGTATGATATGAGTTCACATGGCACAACATGATGGAGAAGGAGACAAAGTTATACTTCAGATATTATCGGTCTTTTCTTGTGCAAACCAACAAACCCATAAAATTGATGCGTATTTCTACAACTACTCCCGAAGTAATTTATTGGCTAGACTGAGATGTTCTGATTATGCCAATAATTTGGATTAACTCGACTGTTTAAAAAGTTTAACCTTTTATTATTCCGAATTTCATAATACATAGAATGGCCAATCGTCGGGAGAGCCGATGTGGTCCGAATATATTGCATGTTCTTTTATGCGAAGTAATTTCCGGCGAACAAAATGCATAGTGTTTTATAGTCTGGTCCCCTGCTTAGTATGCTCCCTACGATGCACTCCGCTATACTATAGCGGAGTGTATCGCAGGGAGCATACTAAGCAGGGGACCATACTAAGTGTTTTATTCTTACTGTAAATTACTACACTCCTATAGCATGCACCCGAGGCATAATTTTGTGTCGCAGATAAAGAGGACGTGGTCTGAATGGTGAGGTAAGCAATTATCAATTATTATTCTTCCATTAAGTAAGCTATCAAAGTAATTCTTACAAATTCATATCATATAGATCATGTGTAAAATTTTCTTTAATGTAGATTTATTTGATTTTGTTCCCTTCTCCGTCTCTGTCCGTCTCTGTCCGTCTGTGTGTATCTCTGTTGTTGTCTAAAAGAGAAAAAAAAATCAATCTTGAATGACAAAAGACAAATCGCCATTCTATTATGGAATAGTTTTCCACTTTAGCAAGTCCCAAGATAATATTTAAGTACCCATATAGACAGGGAACTTGTGACAAGAAAGAAAAGGAAAGAAATTATTTATTTTATAACGCTCCGGTGGCCTATTGGTTAGAGCGTTCCCCTTGGATGTGCCAGGTCACGGGTTCGATCCACGGCCAAGTCATACCAAAGACTTATAAAATATGATACTAGCAGCTGCCTCGATAGTTGCTCAGCATTAAGAGTTTAGTGTTAGGACTGGTCGGCTAGGTGTCAGGATACTGTGCCTGAGTGGAACATGTCCCCCTTCCGCTATACATCACTCTGAACTGCCACACTCCATGCATCACAGCGATATGATTGAAGCAGTTTTTACCCTACGTTAAAAATGCAAATCTCACCTCATCTATATCTTTGTTTCAACGAGTAGATTATCAATTACGTAATTCAAAACCTTCCGCTATTACGCCTTTGGTTAGACATTTGTATTGCTGTCTGGAGTTATGCTTTCTTTAGCTATGATCATATGTTGCATTATTTACGTCATAAACAATCCATCACTAGCCGTCTGAGGCTTGACAAGAGACAAGATTTAAGACAACAACAATGCAGACTTGTGTACCAAACTCATTCAAATAGGTGTAACAAAATGAAAAAAAGAAAGCATGCTTTAATAGCATAATGCTAGTCGATAATCCGCAAATAGCCAAAGATTTTAACTCACGTGTTTAATGGAATATACAAATATAGAGAAATCAGTATCAGACTCAGCAGATGTTTATTTATTTATTTTTAAATTTTACTTTCGTAATTTTAATTGTAGCATATAATATATAGTGGTATATATACGGTAGACAGTATTAAAGCAGGGAACACACCAGTCTTTTCAACCATCATCAGGACAATCGGCAATAACAGTGCGAGGTGAAAATAACGTAAGTATATGCTTTCTGGGCAACTGAGACATTTGCAAAGTTATGACTTGGGTAAATATTTGTCTTTTTAATGC